AGGACCACTGACTCGCCACGCATGACGAGGGTAAGAAAGCGATGAGGGAGGCGACTGTCCGCCCTCGGGGGGGGGTTTTCGTAATTAGGGCGTCGAACGGGGAGCGGGTCCCATCCCACCACGCGCAATAAAGGGCCTTGTTATAGGCGGTTTTCGGATCCGTCGAAACACAGTTGAGGACGGAAGCCTGGTTTAAGCGATATATACCTTTCGGGGCCGGTGACCGGCGGGGCTCGTGTGGGACCTGAGGCGGAGAAGGTTGCACAGCAAGCAGCAAATTTTTTTGTTATTATCATTAATATAATTACATTAATTAATTTAAAATTTAATTATAATGTATAATCACATTATCATATATTTATAATCAATTAAAATAATTATAGTATTATTATAATTAATAACATTAATCAATTTATAATTATTTAATTACTTTCGTTAATCATAATTAGTAATACTAATTAACTTAAATTAATTATATCAATTAATGTTAATTAAATAATAATTTAACAAAATATTATAATAACTGGGGGGGGATTTGATATAATTAACCATTAATCATAATTAAATTAAATTAATTAATAATTTAAGGTTAATGAAAAATTCTAATCCTCCCAGCATTCTGGTTCGGCCAGATTTACGGGTCGGCGAATGAAGAACACGAAAGGGAGATGGAGTTTACCTTCTACGGGACAGGAGGCTCCCGTGGTTGCCTCGATCAAAAATGTCGGAACTTCTGATCCTTTAGGATCGACGGAAGGAGGACTCGTCAAAGGAGCGATAAGTCGGACAGCTAGAGGAGTCCGGAACGAAAAGCGATCGAAAGGGAGAAGTTAACTTCACAGTCGGCGGGCTTCTGTTCTTGTCAAAATGTGTCCGACCGAAATGTTCGAACTTTCGATCTCGATAGGAAGGGAAAGTCGTGAATGAGCGAGGTCGAACACCTAAGGAGCGAAGGAGCGGCGCCTGAATCTCACACCCTCCTGTGTAAGACCGAAGCCGGACAAGCAACAGAGAGAGGGGGAGTTTCGCGCGTGGAAGAGAGGGCTCGAGAGAAGGCTGGAGCGGGAGAAGGGAAGAAAATCGGCAACGAGGGAGCTTTGGGTCGGTATTTGAAGGCGACTGGGCGCTCGTTCGAGGTTCTGCGAGGGATTGGGAGGATGACCGATTCGGCGCTGTCTCGGCGGTATTTCGGTGGCAGGATTCGCGGGATTGGTCGAGCCTTGAGGTTTGCGAGAATATCCGGGATTCAACGGAAAGCAGAGGTATCATTTCGTTTTTTTTTTTTTTTTTTT